GGTTTAGCAAGTAAGCAGACCAGCCATTACACGTAATCGTTAACAGTTTTGTTTTTTAGGTATGGACAAAGTTGGAGTTTTGGTTTCACGCAATTGCATCATTCTGTGCATCTGCTGTTTGTATAATCTATATTTCCAATATACTTGGTCTCATGAGACAGTCAGATATCAGTCAGTGAGTCGCTTCTCTTTCAATGTTTGTACAATTCAAATTCTAATTTTTACTACAGGCCTGAGGTAGTGTATAGCTACCATGGAATAGCTTCAATCATCGGAAGGGCTCTGCTCACGCTCCTTCTTGGTCTCACCAAAGTTCATATAGCTGTAGTAATGATTTGCAACTACATAATTGCTCAGACAGCCATATCTTCTGCAGCATTTTGCTATACAATTTGGCCTTTTCGTATCCAAAATTTCTTCTCTGGATTTGGTATAGGTAAAACTTATAATATCATAATAATTTAGTTTTGTTTCTTCAAACACCTGCATATGAAATTTCCTACCCTACAAAATGCTAATAAGTTTGTTGGAATTTTCAGTATGTCATTTTTGCACGTCTACTAAGTTTTCAAAAAACTGCCATGGACCCTCAGAGAGAAATTTAGCTTAAACAGTAGAAGTTTCCTATTCAGTTTTTTGCCTTTTTTTAGTTCTTTTTCTCAAATCTCGTTAATATGAAGTGATTTTTGACAAATACTGTCTTCACTTCTCAATGTTCCTATTAATAATTGTAATAATCTGATCACATTTCATGTTTTCAACAATAAAATAAATTTAGGTCTCTTTCAAGCCACTATTGCGCAGTTTCTGCTTCTAATAGTTGGACCATCGCAACTTCCGGGGGCTTTAGGATACACAAACTTACTAAATGGTGCTGCCGCTTTTGTGGCAGTTCAAATTGCAGGTTCACGCTTCCTTGAGTTTAATCACAATCATTTATGCTCAAATATTCTTTTTGCAAGACAATCATGAATTTATACATTTTCTAACTTTATTTTTGCTATTATTTTAGGCACTGTCACGCAAAAATATCACAGCATTCGTGCGGCTTTCTACATAACAATAATCTTCGGAATGACTGCAGTCATAGTTGCCATATTGAACTCGGCTTTCATTCTGGTTAGGCAAAGGGCTGCAAGAAAAAAAGCGGAAAAGTCCGCAGAAATTCCTGAACTTCGAGCAATGCTACAAACTTCTGAAGAGTGATGTCATATC